ATTAGCTCTTCGTCGTTATTCAAAATATATATCATTATTAGCAGGAATATCAGTAGAGATCAATCAAACGTTTTTATCATCTGTAAATAAACTTATTATTGATTGTCCATTAATAACATCACCAAATAATACATATCCAAAACTTGGTGAAGATGAATCTTATACACTTAATATTACAAAAACAGGTTCATATTTATATTCATTATCATTAACTGGTATTATTCGAGGTTTATCAACATTTGTTCAATTAATTGAACGAAATGCATCATCAGATACATTCTATATTCCACTAGTAAATATAATTGATCGACCTCGTTTTATATGGCGAGGTTTATTACTTGATGTATCTCGTCATTGGATGCCTGTATCAGTTATTCAACGAACATTAAATGCAATGGAATTAAGTAAATTTAATGTTCTTCATTTACATTTATCTGATGATCAAGGTTTTCGTGTTGAAAGTATTGAATATAATTTATTACATGATAGAAAAGATTTTTTTACACAAAAAGATATTAAATATCTTGTTGAATATGCTCGACAACGACGTATACGTATTATTCCTGAATTTGATATACCTGGTCATACAACAAGGTAATTAAATAACATAATGATTCTTTTCTTATGAGAAAAACAAAAATTTTTGAACATAATATTTATTTGATTTGAATATATATTTTAGTTGGTTTGTTGGTTATCCAGAATTAGCTAGTCAACCAGGTCCATATCAAATTGCAACTCAATGGGGTGTAATGAAAGCTACAATGGATCCTGCTAAAGAAAATACATATATATTTCTTGATAAATTTTTTAAAGAAATGACAAAATTATTTCCTGATCCATATTTTCATATTGGTGGTGATGAAGTTGAAGGTTCACAATGGACGCAATCATCAACAATTCAACAATTTATTAATGAAAGTAAACTTGAAAATAAATATGGTTTACAAGCTTATTTTAATAAACGTATACAAAAACTACTTAAAAAATATGGAAAAATAATGGTTGGATGGGAAGAAATTCTTGATGAAATTGATGTAAATTCATCAGTAGATAAAGATGCTATTATTCAATTATGGATAAATCGACAATCAACTGTAAATGTTGTAAAAAAAGGTTATCGAGTCATAGTTTCTAATGGTTATTATCTCGATTATCTTTTATCATCAATAAATCATTATAAAGTTGATCCAATTCTTAGTAATCATTTAGATTTACTTCATGAAGAACAGCGAAATCATGTTGTAGGTGCCGAAGCATGTTTGTGGAGTGAATATGTCACACCAAATTCAGTTGATTCTCGTATTTGGCCTCGTGCTCTTGCTATAGCTGAACGTTTATGGTCTCCATCTTCAATTAAAGATGAAAATTTTCTTTATGAACGTCTCTTTCGAATGAATCATTTATTTGATAAAATGCAAACAGGTGTTACACATATTTCATCATATAAATCTCAATTACGAAATTTAATTCTTGATCCAAAGAAAAAAACCGATCTTCTAGATCCACTAGTTATATTAGCTAATGTATGTGAACCATGTGGCCAACTAGAACGTTCTCAAATGTATAAATATTCAACAAATACTCCATTAACAACATTTGCTGATGTTTTACAATCAGAAAGTGAACTTATATGGAAATTAGAAAAACTTCCTATTACTGATGAATCGTCATATCGTAATATATTTCAAACTTGGTCTATTAATCATTTACGTTTAAAAGAATTATTTGATAATGTTGAAAAAAACTAAAAATCAAGAAATATGGGGACAAGATATTGAACAATTATCAATAAATCTTGCTAATACAGGTCAAATTGGTTTGAGAATTTTAGATTATAATTCAAAAAAAATATTAAATAGTGATAAAAGTAATACTATGAATTCATGGACATTATCACATTGGATTTTATATCACAAAACATTATTAGAACAATTAGAAAATCAAGTTAAAGAAGTACGATTAGCTGCTGTGAGACCAGTTCTACGTTTACTTAATTCAATTCAAATCATTCCATGATTTTTTTATTTTATTTTATTTTTTATAAAACTTACCAAAATAAATACTTGATATAAAAACTTGTCAATATAGTTCCAAGAGGAGGCGAAAGTATGGAACTCACAAATTTTGAGTGTTATAAATTTATGATATATTGTCAGATAAATTAAAATAATCTATTTAACAAGATATCAAATCAATGAATAAATCAAAACCACAATAATTTTTTGTAGTTGATATGTGCGCTGTGAAATTTTCTTATTTCGAAAAAGATCGTTGTACTGAATAAGCTTATTTATTTTGTCAGATATGTCTTCAATATATAACTTCTTTTCTCTTAATGAATAATATATGCGACACATGCCATAAGAAGTAATAAATATCATTTTATTCTTCGTTTCATCAGTTCAATCACCATATTAGTGTGCAATACATATTGATTTGATCGTTCAGTAAACTTTCGAGCACACTATTCGTTCAGTCGACGAGTCTTGACATATACTGTTGAGTTTAGCCTAAGCTTAGAGCTCACTTATGTTCATACATACTTTTCTATGTTCGTCGTATTCTTACTCTGCTGGATCGATAATACCATCACCCTACTGATTTCTACTTACAATAAAATTCTTTCGCAGCATTAAATATCAAAACCCGCAATATTTAGACTAATATCGAATTTTTTTAAAAATAGCCTCCACTGTTTTGTGAATAATTTTTCAACGCTGATACCTGTGGATTTTGGGTTTTCACCATTCGATAGAGGAAGCCAGGAGACGTCTATCTGTATAAGATACATTGGGTCAAAAACCTTTTTCATGATCTTTCGGAAGCGAACATTTTTTCTAATGCCGTACTCCTGCAATTGTCATGACAACCTATGATTAAATTATACCAGATTATAGCCTCTGGAATCCTCTATTTATTATAGAATTTTCAAATTATTTCAACGTTCTTTCGAAGAATGGATATTTTTGCACTGAGACAAAGAAATCTATGTTTAAGCGAATTTCACAAGATAATATAAATTTTCAATTATGCTGGATTTCATAGTACCATTGGTTATCAGACTGAACGTACTTTCAGATTTTGCTTGTCGATTAACCAGTGTTTACTCCGTCCAGAAACCGTTATCTCGTGTTTGTACGGTCTTAACAATCAATTCATCAATGATAAGTACAATAAATTTTGTTATTTTTCTTGTATTGTGAAAACTTATAGCAGACACTATGAATAAACGTCTGTAAAAATCTCGTCGAACAATTCTCAAGTGGTGTCACATGAGTGAGTGAAAAGAAGTAAACAAGAAGAAGATGCAGTAATCAAGCATCGTTGTCATCTTCGTCGTGCATGTTCTTATCAATGTGAAGATCATCATCGGAGTCTGAATCGACGAAATTTGATTCTATTTCTTCCTCCACTATAGCATTCACCACACAAAAAGCTTCTTCCACTTTGTGCACGTGTTCAAAATATTTCCGACTGGTATTGACGTCTAGGTTAGCGATAAATTCTTGCACCAATGATTGAATATCCGAGAGACACTATAAAAATTTGAAGTTATATGTCAGAACACGTGATGCTCTATTTTGAGCAGGAGAAGAACAGAATTGGGAGTGTATCATTCGCTTACAAATGACGCATGTATTTGCTAACATGTTGTTAATCAGAAAGGATGTTTCATAAATGACCTATTCAATAAGCTCATGAAAAGAAAATGATCAAGGATTTCAGCATTAACAAGAGCATATCGACGATTACAGAAAAGTACAAAATTATCAAACTTATAAGATAACTAGAAAGAATAATTGAGTTGGACACAGAACAGATTGACAAAGTATATGAGTTTTCTACAAAGATAATCTAGAACTAAAAACTCGAAGAAATAAACAGTGTAACATTATTAACGATCATTTCAATTGATGGAACTCAAGGCTTAGTGTTAACACTAGTCTAATAGAGGATTGAGAATTAAACTACAAATCGACATGCGAAGACTATTTCAGTTAGATTTCTCAAATTCTATCCAGAACCTAGCTTTTGAAAGTTAGATTGACGATCAGTTGAACGTAAGAGGTGAAGTCAAATCATCACAGAAGCATTTATGAAACTCGAAAGTAGATCGAGCAAGCAACGATTGTTTTCATGAGTTCGATAGATAGAGAGGGAGAAAATAATTCACGAGAATCGAACATTGTAATCGATTAAAATCTTTCTGGTCGGTTATAATTGATGATAATCGAAATCTCAAATCGGATTATGAAGTAAAATAATCGAGATTATAAACGATTTTAATCGAAATCTCTAACTGGATTTTTTTGAACCAAAATCAAAATTATAATTGATTATAATCAAAATTTCGAATCGGATTATTTAGTTGAATAATCGAAATTTTAATCGATTTTAATCCATATTTCTAACCCGATTTTTTTACACCAAAATCGAAATTAAAATCGATTAAAATCTCTTGTTTCAATCAACATCAATCGATTAATACTGCTGTCTAATAGATTAGAGCTGATTATCAATCGGATTATAATTGATTATAATTTCGATTATGGTACAAAATAATCAGGTTATTAATTTCGATTATGCCCACAGAATTTTGCAATTTTAATCGACTTTAATCCTAAAATTTTTCACTGGGAGATATATCGACAGGTTTCTGAAAAACACTTTTAATTGATCATTTAATTATCTATATGATTCATTATGTATAATCATCTGCATTCACAGCTGCTTGATAGATGAGTAAACAAACTGACGCCTAACTTTTGTTTACGTTTTCGTTTTAATTATCTGAAAATGAACAAAGCACGAAGTCCCCAAAAATTCGTCATTTTTGGAAGTTACTTTTAAGGAAACCGAACATGCTTTCGAGACAAACTCAAAAAAAGTTATCGGTTTGATTTCGATACTTGAATCTCGTGTGTGACCGACTGTTTTTAGAGTCTTGATTCTTGAGATCACCATGCCACAAAATGACAACTTTTGCGTCGAGAAAATATAAAAGTAGAAAAACAAATCGCGTAGGACTACATGAATGGTGTGCTTCATACTGCATTAAAAAGAAAGTATAAAAGCAGAGCAATTTTGAAATATGATTGGTATATTATTATACAAAAACAAATATTTTGTAAACGTATACGTGAAGCGTAGATGAAACACACTTTTTTTTTGTTTCCTGTACGATTTGTTTTGAGCTTATATATATATATATTACAGAAGAGCAATATGTACACACCCGATTATTCAAGCGTATCTCTTTTTCTTTTTTCTTGGTTTGTAACGTTCTCTACATTATACTAGCATGCCTTCAATGAGGAATACTGGGTGTTACAAAAGTTTTCCAACATATTGCGTTTTGCATAAAGCTTAGTCTAGAGAAAAGATAAAATCTTGAGTTTAATTTTGGAAGATGCGCAATTTATTGCTCTACGAATTGGTATTTAGATCAATTTAAAATAATAGACTTCAACATTTTTATGGATCAAAAGGTAAGATTATATGAATTGCATTTATTTCTCATACGAGTTTTATTAAATTATTTTTTTCGTACGAACGAGTATTTCGCTTTCAAAAAAAAAGACTGTCAGATGGCTCTTGAAAGGTTGGATCGGTCGCTAATATAATTAACCTTCACTCTTTCTATTAGATAGAATTTTGTACGAAGCAATATTGTAACAATTGCAAAATTTCCTCTCAATTATTCCTTTCAAGAAAAGCACCTCTTAAAAACGTGACCGTTCACCAAATCGAGTTCATTTTTGCAGTACTTTCTAAGAAACGGACTTCTCTTTCTACTTGAAGTTCAAAAGAAACATTTTTATAAAACAATTCAAGTGGCAGAAGAATCTGGATGTTGCCAAGAATGCTATTTTTGTAGTAGTATACCAAACAGGCCATTTTTATTAGGCTTAAATAGATTGTAATCGAATGCAGACAATTTATTCTAAAAGCGCATTGATATCAGATAGTATTATTGATAATTAGCTTTTTAGACGTCTGTTTATAACACGGGATAGTCAGAAAAAACGTGTGAGAAGTAGATGCAATTCATATAATCTTACCTTTTTAACCCATAAAAATGTTGAGG